TCCCTGCAGCTGGGATGATGAAAGGAGGAACAGGCGGTGCTGTCAGCCTGGGTTTGAAGGAATGCTGCTCTGGAGGCCTCTCAGGCTGCAGGACCCCCGGGGAAGGGACGGGGCTGGCGTCCAGGCAGGACTCGGCGCCCGTGTCACCGGGCTGAGCTCTCCCCCCAGTTTGGTCCCCGCAGCTGCAGCACTGGTGCAAAGGCGCTGGGCTCTGCGGGGAGAGAGCGGTGAGCGATGGGGGTACCACCACCTCGGCCCTCGTAGGAGCACCTGTGATGGGAACAGGAGGGTGCCGGGAGCCCTGTGTGAGCATCTCCCATTTCGGAGCTCTCCCGGGCAGCTGGGCCACCGTGGGGTGGAGACAGTTTAAAACCAGCCATGGGGAGAGCAAAGGGACGTCAGGCGTGCGCACGCCGCTGCGCTGGGCTGGGTCTGCCCGTTGGGTGCCCAGCCCTGGCGCAGCCCGTGGTGTTCTGCAGCGCAGCCCCAGCTCCCAGCAAGGGACTGGGCAGAAAGCGCACGGAAACCCCCGTGTGGGCTCCGAGCTGTCGGTGTGCGCCGGCAGGGAGGTTCGGTGCCTGAAGAGAGGCTCAGAAAATGGGGGAGATCACCCCAAACAGGGGAGGCGGGGTGAAAAGGAACCCCACGCAGCATCCCACCTGGGTCGTTCCCCCCAGGGCAATCCCGGGCTGTGCTCCGTGGACAAGGCCCCCGCCGCTGTCAGCAGCGTGGGCAGGAGCGAGAGTCCCCTGGACAGCATCTGCCTCAGTGAGTCCGAGAAGACGGCCGTGCTCACGCTCATCAGAGAGGAGGTAACAGCCGGGGACCCCCCTCCCTCGCCGGACCCCCGGTGGCTGCTGCTGCAGGGGGAGCTGGGGCAGCTCTGGTCTCCCAGGGGGTCTGGTCCCCTGCGCATCGGAGGCGTGGGGCAGCAAGGGAAACCCCCCGGAGCGCGTCCCAAGGGTCCTGTGTCTGCTGCAACCTAGATCATCACAAAGGAGATTGAAGCAAACGAGTGGAAGAAGAAATATGAAGAGAGCCGCCAGGAAGTCTTAGAGATGAGGTAAAAGCCTTCTCCTGGCACGCTCGCCTGCCTGCTCCGCGTGCTCCCCGCTGGCAGGTGGGTCAGCGGGGCCGTGGTGGGGTGA